AGTGGAGTGAAGTCTCCCAAAGCAGTTACTCTACCCTCAACTCAAGAACGGAAAACATGATGTTGGTGGACAGGAAAAGAGATTTAAATATGAGCTTAAAGTCAACCTTCAAAACTGTGGCATAGGCACAGAGAAGTGGGAAGCCCTGGCCCTTGAGCACTCTAACTGGAGGTCAGCTGTAACCAGCAGTGCTGCAGAATTCAAAAAGGGAAAAATGGAGGGCGAAAGGGAGAAATGTGCCAAGAGAAAGGTGCATCAAACCAACCCTGATCGGGACCACCTTCCACCTGGAAACTAATGTCCTCACTGTGGGAGAACATGCGGATCAAAAATAGGGCTCCACAGCCACCTTCGGACCCACAACCAAGACACTACACTTGGAGGACCATCATTCTTGGGCTACGAGGGATCGCCTAAGTAAGTAACATACCACCTTATCCCAAGCTCTGAAAAGTGCACTGGAGATATTTAAGTTTTAAAAACCTATTTATGTGAAGTGCTTGAATGCCCCAAGAAAAATGCACAAGCACAAAAGAGAGAAGGTAACAAATTAAAATTCAGAAGAGCAAAGTAGGTGGAACAGTCTTCCTCATATTACAGACTCAATAACAAAACCTGCAACAATGTACAAAAGAAGGAAAAGGCCACAACAGTTTGTTAAAAAGTAAATCAATAAATAACAAGTTAGTTCACAAAAGAACTAAAGCATATTTTATTTCTGTTAGCTCATAAAAATCAGGAAGGTGMGGGAAAGCAAGAACAGCTTCATACATCCTTATCAGAAACAAAAATATTTACCAATTTCCTCCACCCCTTCCTTCCCCAACCTTGTATCGTTTATGATTCTTGGGGTTATAAGGGGGGGGGGGGCTGAGAGTTACAGAAATCACTCCCAAAGGATAGCTGCTTGCGTTCGCCAGTCTCTTCTGCTTCTCAAAGGAGCGACTTGGAAGAGGAGAAAAACAARTGGGGARGGCAAGGATATTTACAAGTGTCACCGCTGTCTTTGAGAAAGAGGGCAGCTGCCTCCTCGAGCCCCAGATTTCTCCGTTTGCTGCTTTTCAGCAGGTGAGTTCGGCCGGCGATTCTTGATCAACATTRACACCGTGTGATAAAGYAGGGAGAGGGGAAAGGCCAGCTCAGAGCCAGCAGTGTGRGTGTGTATGTTGTGTGTATATGTGTATTCCTGATTCTCCCAAGAATCATAATCCTTGAAACCCACTGGCAATGGAGAGGGAGCAGACGGCTGCCCGAGCGCCRTCCTCAAAGGAAGGCCGGCCTGAAGTGCTGGAGCGACAGTCCGACAAATCCCCYCACAGACCTCAGTGGGCTTTGTGTTTCCACTTCTTGTGTTTTTTGTCTTTCCTTTTGCTGGCGCACCTGGAGCAGAACCACTGCACTTCTTGGGGGGGAGCAGCCTTAATTCCCACYCAAGGCCTATATGTCGATGACATGGAGACAAACACAAGAACATGTATGAGGATTCACAAAAAACTGAGCGCCTGAGGTCATTTTTTAAACTTTGCACAAAACCTTCAGCAAAGACTTAATTCTCTTTCCCTTGGACAAATCCTTTCAATCATCTAAAACTGGGGTCTGATGAACTGCAATTACATTACAGGACTGAAAAAGATCGAGTTAAATTTGCCAATGATTCCAATTTTATTTGTAATGTTCATGGTATCACTTCAAGGATATGCATTTGTAGGGACAGTATCTGTTATCAAAAACCTCTAAAGCAGCAGAAAACAAACTTGCTCCATAAACATCCGCAAACTCAGATTGTCGATTTCTCGCTAATATACTGTTTCCCCTCATTGAAAAACTTCAGAGGAGAGGAAATAATAAAACAACACACGCACACACAGATTCCCAAAGGTGCTCTTACAAAAATTTTGAAAAATAGAGTGATATGGTTGTCTATGAGCACTCCAGCTGGAGGTCAGCTGTGACCACTGACCAGCAGTGATGTAGAATTTGAAGAGGCATGAATGGAGGGCGAAAGAGAGAAATGTGTCAAGAGGAAGGCACATCAAGCCAACCCTGACCAGGACCGCCTTCCACCTGGAAACCGATGCCCTCACTGCAGGAGAAGATGCAGATCAAGAGTAGGACTCCACAGTCACCTACGGACCCACCGCCAGTACACTGATCTTGGAGGACCATCATCCTCGTACAACGAGGGATTGCCTAAGTAAGTAAGCTCTTTGTGTAGATTTTATTATGCTTGTCAGATATAAACTTTCTCGATTATTTTAAGATGACTCTAATAGAGCATGTTATACAGTACTGTCTCGCTTATCCAACATAAACAGGCCAGCAGAACGTTGGATAAGACAAAATGTTGGATAATAAGGAAGGATTAATGTCAAATTACATTATGATTTTACAAATTAAGCACCAAAACACAATGTTTTACAACAAATCAACAGAAAAAGCACTTCAATACACAGTAACGTTATTTAGTAATTACTGTATTTACGAATTTAGTTGTAAACATGAGACATAACAGTAATGGGCCTAAAAATTGGTAATGGTGGGAATGAGACACAGGGCCTTCTCTGTGGTGGCCCCCCAGCTATGGAACTCCCTCCCGAATGAGATTAGCTCCTCCCCTTCCCTCCTGACCTTCAGGAAGCTAGTGAAATCCTGGCTCTGGAACGAGGCCTTCACAGAATAATTACCGAGCCCGACAATTGAACAAAGTTATTGACCACATGTGGACTGAGTTTGGACATGATTTTACTACTGGCGAATTGGCTTATATGTATTTTAATTTTTCTGTTGATATATGTTGTTTTAGACTTTACTGTAGCATTGAAACCTTGCTGTTAGCCGGTCTGAGTCCCTCTACGGAGATTGAGAAGAACGAGATATAAAAGTTTTAAATAAATAAATAAATAAATAAATAAATAATGTGATTTTCTATAGCAATTTTTGAGGCCCATCATCATTTTTCTTGTCATTCCTAGGCCACAATGCTTCCCCCTTCAGTTTGCTTTAACTGGGCTCCAAATGTCACCTCTGCCCTTTTACCATGACCCTTTAAAGACATGCAAGTCCCAACAATTCAGAGCAGGTGATCTCCTGAGTATGGGAGAAGATACGGAATGGGGGACAATGCCTGGCTCAACAGCAGTACGTCTGAAAAAGATCTTGGAGTCCTCACGGACAACAAGTTAAACATGAGCCAACAATGTGATGTGGCAACTTTAAAAGCCAATGGGATTTTGGTCTGCATCAATAGGAGTCTAGTGTCTAGATCCAGGGAGGTCATGCTACCCATGCTCTATTCTGCTTTGGTCAGACCACACCTGGAATCACACTGTGTCCAATTCTGGGCCCCGCAACTGAAGAGAACTGTTAACAAATTGGAATGTTTCCAAAGTAGGACGACTCAAATGATCAAGGGTCTGGAGAACAAGCTCAATGAGGAGCGGTTTAAAGGGCATGTTTGGCCTTCAAAAGAGAAGGCTGGGAGGAGAAATGATGGCCATGTATAAATTTATGAGGAGAAGTCATAGGGAGGAAGGAGCAAGCATGTTTTCTGCTGCCCTGGAGACTAGGACACAATGGAACAATGGCTTCAAACTACAGGAAAAGAGATTCCACCTGAACATTAGGAAGAACTTCCTAACTGTGAGAGCTGTTCAGCAGTGGAACTCTCTGTCCTGGAATGTGGTGGAGACTCCCTCTTTGGAGGCTTTTAAACAGAGGTTGGATGGTCATCTCTCAGGGGTGCTTTGAATGCAATTTTCCTGGTAGGGGATTCTGTAATTCTATGAATTCAGAGGATGCCATAGGCTAGTGAAAAACAATATTTTGGAACCATTCAAAGTCAGTTTCAAGCCTAAATGTGTTACACAACAGAACTTAAAATGTATCAGTTAACTGAGTAAGTCAATCAGCATGAGTAACAAGTCTGTTCTAAGGTTCCAATGTACTGTTGGAGTTTGTTTACGGGGAAAAAAATCCCAAGAGATCTTCCTATCAGTGCCTCACCAGTTATTTTTTAAATGGAGCTGAAATCCTCCAAGTTGACTGGAAAATAGAAACCACCACAAGGGAATCACAAATTTGATCCCATTTCACATGGTTGATGAAGAGACTAAAGAGGAACAGTTGCCAAGAAGGAAGTTGCTCTATTGCTTGTCCAAAACGGGAATTGGGCTTACCAGTGATACCAGTCGTCACAGTCATCGCATCCAATCATCGGACTGCCATCGTCCGGTTTCTCGCAGCCAGGGCAGATCCAGATCTTGTTCCCCCATTCATCTCGAATCTGTGAGGAAAGAAGAGGGAGAAGGTGATGCCTTGGATGGTCAGGAGGAGTAATAAAGACAGATTACCTTTCCCCTCAAATCAATGATTTAACCAACTTGTGTATTGGGGGGAGGGGGGATAGCATTGCCATAGACTATTTCCATGGACATATTATGTGAACGCATTTCCCTGCCAATCCATTTCCTCTCTATAAACGACATATGTTCTGTGTCAGAAACTAGAGCTGATGTGGTCTATCCAATGCAGTTTTCTGAATCAGCACCCCAAACATAATCTAACATTGACCAAAAACTGATTCTTAACCCTTTTGGTACTAATGTTGGAGAGTGGTCTCTAGTCAAGTCCCTGGTCAAAGTGGTCCCTGGTCAAAAAATGGTTGGGAATCAGATGGATACAGTTTGTGTCACATTAAACTCATTGTTCTTCCCACAACGGACCAACATAGCAGCTCCTCTCAAAGCTAAGGAAAAAATGTTGCATATGTCCCATGATTTAGAAAGCCAAATTTGCACATGTGCAATATCCCAAATTGGTGTTCCTTTCCTTTGAGGAAAAGAGACACAAACATTAATGGCTAACTCCCAAATACTTCCCATGATTTAGGAAGCCAAATTTGCACATGTGCAATATCCCAAATTGGAGTCCCTTGCTTTTGAGGAAGAAACACACAAACATTAAGGGTTAATGCCAAAATACTTCCCATGATTTAGGAAGCCAAATTTGCACATGTGCAATATCCCAAATTGGTGTCACTTTCCCTTGAGGAAAAAAGACACAAACATTAAAGGTTAATGCCAAAATACTTCCCATGATTTAGGAAGCCAAATTTGCATAGTGCAATATCCCAAATTGGTGTCCCTTGCTTTTGAGGAAGAAACACACAAACATTAAGAATTAACTCCAAAATACTTGCATGATTTAGGGTGCCAAATTTGCACAGTGCAATATCCCAAATTGGAGTCCCTTGCTTTTGAAGAAGAAACACACAAACAATAAGAGTTAACTGATTTAGGAAGCCAAATTTGCACATGTCCAATATCCCAAATTGGTGTCGCTTGCTTTTGAGGAAGAGAGGCAAGGGCTAACTCCCAAAATAGCTAAGGACCAGCATCTTGGTGCTCCAACTGACTGAAAGCTGGGTTTTTTCTTTTTTAAAAAATGGCCTACCAACAGAAAACTGGGACACAACCGAGGCTGGCAAGGGCAACACAGAACAGGCAATGCTGAACATCGGAGGGAATGCCGTGGGAGTTGCAATGCCTTTTCAGAGACATGAAAGAGAAGGTCTGGGTGGCGAAGCTTCTGCAAGTTAAAGGAGTGGTGCTGCTTGACTCATACAAAATCACCTGTTCTTTATCTCCATATTCAAATCAGCTCAAGAAGAAGAAGAAGAAACCCCAGTCATGTGCTTCTGCTATCAAATGCAACACAAACTTGGAACGGATGCTGGAGAGGGCACCAAGATGCCAATGCTATTGCTTTTGGGGGCCAAGAAGCACCACCACCAGCAGCCCCTTCCTCCTCCTTCGCTGAAGGCAATCTTGATGACGTGTTCCTAATATATACAGCGCCGGGTGCACGGACTGCTGTGTTATTACTTATTAGCCAAACTCTTCCAACTCAACTAACTGATAAGATCAAGGGTATAAAAATTGTTACTGAGTAACTTTCCATTCCTTTGACATTTATGTCACAGCTACATTTATAATGAAGGGTAAATGGAAAAAGAAAGAATGAGAGAGAGAGAAAAAAGAGTTTTCAGTATTCAGCAGCAGACGTCTTTTATTCCTCTATTTACTCTTCTAAATCATTAAGATGCACGTTCAGGCTATAATAAATAATGATGCCAATTGTAGCAATGCTATTTCAGCCATAATGTTGACTGGATATTATATGTTTAGAATAGTGTCAGGAGCTGATTTTATGTCGAGCTCATGTATAGAAATGTGAGATTCCAGGTGTGCAGGAAAAAGTGGTTTGCAGGCGCGAGGGCTAAATAAAAACTAAGTAAAAGGCTATTTTTGCAGGATAAACTTGCAGAGTAATTTGCCAGGTTAGTATTAAGAATGTAAATGGAATCTAAAGCACTTTGATTGAACAGGCCAGATAAATAATTCCATCTTATGCTTTTAACCCATGTCAAAAACTTACAGTCTAGATATGTGAAACTACAGTTAATTATGAACACACAAACCTTTCCTCTTTCCCCCATTTCTTGATGCAAAACTCATCCCATCACATGACTGTCGTGTTCTTTCACTTGGTGAATTTAAAACGGCTACATGATGCCACGTGGGAGACTCAGTGATGTGGGAACTGAGAAAAAGAAGGAACGGTCCCGGGGTATCTTCCGGTCTCAAATCAAGGTGCAGGTTGTTACCTACAAAGCCCTGAATGGTTTGGGACCTGCCTATCTGTGTGACCGCATTTCTGTGTATGAACCCACACGATCTCTTCGATCATCTGGAGAGGCCCTGCTCTCACTCCCGCCCCCTTCGCAGGCGTGATTGGTGGGGACGAGGGAGAGGGCCTTCTCTATGGTGGCCCCCCGACTGGAACTCACTTCCCAAGGATATCAGGCAAGCCCCCACATTGGCAGTCCTTAGGAGGAGCTGAAAACGTGGCTGTTCCACTGTGCCTTCCCTGAATAAAGAAAACAATTCCCTGCAAAATGTCCTCAGAAGCACTTTAACTACCTGTTGGGTTGCTCTCCCTACATTTCCTTCAAAACTCTCCTGCTTAGACACATCTGTTCATGTCCAGTGTTTATTTTTAAAATTTTAAACTATTACATCTGGCCCACCCATAGGTTTTTAATTTTTGTGTGTGTGTGTTATTGTCTATATGTGAGTTATATTAATTGTATTGTTTTATTTGTTTATTGCTTTGTTGTTTTACTAATGTGTTGTTGTGCTTGGCCTCATGTAAGCCACCCTGAGTCCCCTTGGGGAGATGGTGGCTTATTATTAATTATTATTATTATTATTATTATTATTATTATTATTATTACCATCCCCAAAACACTCCTGTTTGAATTATTACATTTATAATTCAAGGAGGCAGTGCAGGGTTTTCCCTCATCAGGCTTTATTCTCACAACTCTTGAGGGGCAGGCCAGCTTGAAAGACAGAGAGATGCTGTTTCAGGATTACAAATACGTTTCATGATCAATGTGCAATGGGATCTGGATCTCCCAAGTTTGGTACTCTAACTTCTACACCACATTGGTTCTTTAACACCTTAGTTGAGATCTCATATGAATTTGATTGAATGAATGATGAAATTGAATACTGAAGGCAAGGAGTCTCCAAGCTAAATTAGGAAAGTTGGAGAGCTTAGTTTTAAGGAAAAACACAGATATTGTAGATGTGACAGAAATCAGGCAAAGAGAACTAGTCAGCTCTTGTCATTTTGGATTAGAAACTCTCTATGAATGACTGGGAAGGATGTAGTGGAGGTGGTGGTGTTCTGAATACGAGGGGGAGTATACTGTTGAGTAAGATGCCACCTGAACATTAGGAAAAACTTCTTAATGGTGAAAGCTGTTCAGCAGTAGAACTCTCTGCCCTGGACTGTGGTGGAGGCTCCTTCTTTGGAGGCTTTCAAACAGAGGCTGGATGGTCATTTGTCGGGGGTGCTTTGAATACAATTTTCCTGCTTCTTGGCAGGAGATTAGACTGGATGGCCCACAAGGTCTCTTCCAACTCTAGGATTCTTAGCTGGAAATGTTATCAGAAGCTGACTCTTCCACAGAAGGACTAAAGATGGTGGCAACAGGCACCAAAAGTTGCTTAGTACTAGGGACATATATTTCCTACCCTCAACAAAATGCTCAGAGAGAACTTGAGATGGAGAATGAAATCAAGGATGCATCTAGAGGGGATAATTTCCAAGAAGGGGTGACTTGAACTATCTCTTATTGACCAGATAAAAGATGGGTTGTTGTAGGTTTTTCGGGCTATATGGCCATGTTCTAGAGGCATTTTCTCCTGACGTTTCGCCTGCATCTATGGCAACCAACCTCAGAGGTAGTGAGGTAGGAGAGAATGCCTCTAGAACATGGCCATATAGCCCGAAAAAAACCTACAACAACCCATTGATTCCAGCCATGAAAGCCTTCGACAATACAGATAAAAGATGCTCCAGTTGCATCCTAAATGATGGTTTAGAATTGCAGATGATGGAATAACCTCCAACTGAAATCCGAGTGATATGGTCTGAAACCTAGAATTGCTAGGCAAGTGTTGCTGAGGCAAATAGAAACAGTGGTCACAGTAATATCACATTTAATTTATCTGTGAGAAACATGCCAGGGAATTCCAATACAGTACTTATTTAATTTCAAGAAAGGTTCTCCCTAACTTACTACTGCAGAGATTTTTTTATCCAAGATGAAAGCAATGAGTCTTTGGTACACAAAACCAGAATGGTGCTTCCATCTTTAGTAGGAGTAACAACAAGTACATCAGAATTCTCCGCTGCACTAACACAATTCATAAGGTCTTCTCCACTTCTCCATTAGGTCATGTTTGGAGGCCTTCATCCACCTTCTCCTACTAAATGAATTAAGTGCGTTGCAGTGAGAGAGAAAACCATCTCAGGGGGTGACACCTTTTTTATGGAATGACATTCCCAAGAAAGTTAGAGAGGTCCATTTTTCCTAGTTATCTTTCAGTAAACTAACTGATGATGGGGTGGACATAAAATACTCTACTGATTTTCTTTGGAAGCTTTTAAACAGAGGCTGGATGGCCATCTGTCAGGGGTGCTTTGGATGCAATATTCCTGCTTCTTGGCAGGGGGTTGGACTGGATGGCCCATGAGGTTTCTTCCAACTTTATGATTCTATGATGTAAATTATCTAGAGATTTACTAGTAGATTCAAATCTATTTTCTTCTCATCCTTGAGTTTCACAAGAAGTTAACTTACATGGGTATAGATAAGTATCAACATTTTGCAATGTTTCATTTTTACTTCAAATTCTTAAGCTTTTAGGGCAGTGATGTTTTGGCCTTCAACTTCCAGAAATCCTTACAGCTGATAAATTGGCTGGGATTTTTGGGAGTTATGGGTCAAAACACTTGGGAATCCACCTGTTTTGGGGGAGTTTCACATCATCAATCAGCTGGATTTTTATTTGTCATTGCAAGGCCAAGTGTCTCTAGTTAAAAACCAAATTGATCTCCCCTAGGAATAAATGTTAAGGTGTGAATTATGGAGTTTATTTTGGGCTTACTATCATCTATTATGGTGAATGCTGGTCTTTAACCAGTAAATTACAGAAAACCGAAATCTGGTAATATCCAAATGCTTCATCAGCCTTGAGATTTATTAGTAAGTACTAGAAAAGTTAAGCTATGTGACGCTGTTTGAGGCATTTATCAATAAGGTTTACCAAACTTCCCATTTCACTTACAGCTTGCTGAAATTTATTCTCGCTGCATCTATTTTTGTTGTCGTTATTAATAATTCCCAGTACATAAAAAATGACAATTTGTTGTTCTGTGCTTTCAAGTCATTTCTAATTTATTGCAACCTAAGGTGAATGAATGCATCATGAGGTTTTCTTGGCAAGTTTTGTTCCAAGGTTTGACTTTGCCATCCCCTCAGGCTGGGAGATGTAACTTGCTCAAGGTCACCCAGTGGTCAAGTGGCTATTTAGACCCTGCTGTTTGTACTCCCAGAACCCTATTCTTAACATTCAAATCACCACACCAGGATGTGTCAGAGTTAGGATGTGAACCCATTTAAATATTCTTCTGTTTTAATTTTACTAAATATTCTTTGGCTGAAAATAAATGAAAAGCCTGACCACAGTCAATGAGATGTGCATGAATTAAAATAATAGAAAATCTTAGTTTAATAGAAAATCATATAACTGCCAAAGTAATGGCTGCAATTTATTTATTTCCTGCTTTCCCCCAATATGCCACCCAAGGCATTCCACCATAAATGTTATATGGAGTTCCTTCAGGGAGAGGGAGCGGGATATAAATAATAATAATAATAATAATAATAATAATAATAATAACTATTATTAACCAAATAGAGTTAAATCTATATAATGTCTTCCATAGGTGTGGTTTATTTCCTTTGAACAAGTTATATGGGTTACCAACTGACTTTCAAAGCTAAAGCTGTTTATTGTTGAAGGCTTTCATGGCCGGAATCCTTCAACAATAAACAGCTTTAGCTTTGAAAGTCAGTTGGTAACCCATATAACTTGTTCAAAGGAAATAAACCACACCTATGGAAGACATTATATAGATTTAACTCTATTTGGTTAATAATACTAGTTTCATGGCCGGAATCGAGCCCCCGGTGGTGCAGTGGGTTAAACCCTGTGCCGGCAGGACTGAAGACCGACAGGTCGCAGGTTCGAATCCGGGGAGAGGCGGATGAGCTCCCTCTATCAGCTCCAGCTCCTCATGCGGGGACATGAGAGAAGCCTCCCACAAGGATGATAAAAACATCAAATCATCCAGGCGTCCCCTGGGCAACGTCCTTGCAGACGGCCAATTCTCTCACACCAGGAGTCACTCCTGACACGACAAAAAAAAAAAAAAAAATGGCCGGAATCACTGGGTTGTTGTAGGTTTTTTCGGGCTGTATGGCCATGGTCTAGAGGCATTCTCTCCTGACGTTTCGCCTGCATCTATGGCAAGCATCCTCAGAGGTAGTGTGAGGATGCTTGCCATAGATGCAGGCGAAACATCAGGAGAGAATGCCTCTAGACCATGGCCATACAGCCCGAAAAAACCTACAACAACCCACTAAAGCTGTTTATAACAGCAGATAATTTAGCCAGGGAAGTGTTTAGAAGAAGATCCTTCTCAAAATGCAAGCTAAAAACAAGGATGATTGATAAATAATTTTTAAAGAGAAAGGTACCATAATAAAGAAGCAGAACTTAATTCATACTAAGTGTGACATGGTTTGAATTTGGTCTAGTACCAAAGTATCAAAAACAACCTTTAAAAAGCGCAGTATTGATTTGATGGAAACAGGTGGAGTTAAAGAACGTGAACCCAATAATAAGGATCAATACACACAGAGAAATACTTTCATCGACATACCACATAATTGCTGACTGTCTCGGTTACTACACTCCGAACTGGAGCTTTGGAGCCTCCTACAGCCGGCAATGCCGGAGATGGTGGTGGAATCAGAGCTGGAGAAATGGTGGTTGCAGGAAGAGAAGGAACGACAGGAGGAGGAGGTGGTGGCGTAACAAGGACAGGAGCTGGTGCTGGAGATGCTGGAGGTGGAGGGGTTTTGGGCCGAGTGAGGAGAGCGGGTGGTTTAGCCTCCGGCGTTGAGACCACTTTGCTGATGACGCTGGCAAGGCAAAAGGAAACAAAAAGAAAAGTTGATGCAATCATATGCTAAATCTACAACCATGCGTAGTCTAAGGTAACATGGCAGGACTAAAAGGAAATGGGGGGAGGGGAGTAGAGATATAAACAATTTGACAGTTTATGATACTTCTAGATGGTCTTTTTCCCCATTCATAACAAAATATCCAGTCAAGAAGACAATTTATAGATTAATTTACAGTTTTCAACGCCATCACGTTTCATGGGTTTGAGAGAGCAATGAAACCTTGACATAACAAGTGTTCAAACAAGACTAATTCAAATGATGGACACACATAAACCATGAATTGGTATTAAAATCATCATTCAAAAAGACAGATATTATAAAAAGGGGTGTATTTGGTATCTGCATTCTGAATTTTTTAAGGAATGGTGCATAAATTGCATACCACATATATAATGAAATTAACACACTTTGGTTAGATCAAGGGTCAGTCCACCCCTGCTCTGAGCAAGAAGTAACAACATAAGAAGTAAGACTAAAGCCACAAATGCACAAAACATAACCATCACCACCCCTACAAAGAAAGGTACTGGGAATGAATACCAAAACCACACTCATTTTTTTATTTGATGACCTGCTGTTCTATTTGTATTTTACCGATTTTCTGTTCACTGCTTTAAGAGCCTTTTTGAATGGAAGAGCAGTTTGTTAAAGCTTTGTATCAATAAATAATTGCTAAAAAAATAACAATTATTTCTAAGAATGTCAGGCTGTTCAAAGCTCATACACAAATGGATATACAAAAGTGAGTTCTCACTTTCATGTGATGATTACGGAAATAGTCATCTCTGATGAGGCTGAATAATCAATACCCACAATTTACTCAACATTCAAATACTAATTGCTGCCTTTGGAGGAATCTGAAGCAGGATGCCATTGCAGTACATACAAACTAGGTAGGGAATGAAGGAAATTATCATTCATTAACTGACTATGTTTTCCTACCTTGCAACAGGTGGACAGGTTACCTGGTAGATGGAAGCAGTGCATTTGGAGCAACTTTGGGCAAGGTGGGGATGGAGAACGGGGAAAGGAATACACAACCAAAGCACTTCTGAAAGATGGTTATCAAACTTCTGTCTAAAGCAGTGGTTCTCAACCTGGGGTCCCCAGATGTTTTTGGCCTTCAACTCCCAGAAATCCTAACAGCTGGTGAACTGGCTGGGATTTCTGGGAGTTGTAGGCCAAAAACATCTGGGGACCCCAGGTTGAGAATCACTGGAAGATTTCAAAGATGGAGAGTTCATCACCTTCCCCAAATTGCTGATGTGTTAGACCAAGGGACCTCCAAACTAAGGCCTGTGAGCCAGATGTGGCTTTCAAAGGTAATTTACTCAGCCCTCATCCTAAAATTTAGATGAAGGTAAGGAAGGCAGGAAGAAGATGCTGTCCCTTGCAGTTTTTCTATTCAAACACACATTCCTGAGAGAATAAAGAGTAAAAAGAAATAGCAGCATGCATCATAAAATCATATAACACTAGATTTTCAATATGAGCCGAAAATAGCAGGGATTCAATGCACCACTCTTGTTTTGGTAAGAAGTAAACAGAACAATGCCTACCAACACAGACGAACTATTTTCATTAAAAGGGGATGAGGAATCCTCTAATGCCACAAGTAGCTCCTGCTGAAAAGATTGTCCTCGGCAGTACAGTACAACTATTCTCCTGTGCAGTGGGCCTAAAAGCTTCAGTCTGTAGATCTCCATTCAGCAAAAAAATTCAAGTTACACTGCTATCAAGGTAGATATCCAATTGCACTTTCTACAAAACACAGTTCTAAAAAAACAGGCTGGACTGGGCCTTTTTCAACATTGCCTCCTCAGCTGTGGCATGCCATCTTTCCAAATCCTCAACAGAATGCTAAATTCACTTAACAGAAAACAAAATAAGGGTTGAATTTAATTTAGCACTGCTGGAAGGCAGGACTTAGGAACGTGTGGGCTTCCATACTGATTCCCACCAAGCTGAACTACATTGGAATAATGGTCTAGCCCTGATGTAAGGTCACCCAATCATTCGATGACTGAGATATCCAAGTACAAGAGTAATACATTAATACAGTATCAGCTGCCATGATATGTCTATGTGGAGAGTGAAAGCTGAAAAAAATTATGCAAGCAGATTAATAAATTAGCTGCCATTTATGCTAAGAAAGATTTGGGAGAGACGATAGAGAGGAAGGAGATGCAAATGCAGATATTCCAAAGAATGGCTGCTATGCCAGAATACCATGCCATCAATATTAGCTTGCCTTTGCCAGTGAAAGCTGGCATAGTTTAGTTAAGTGCATGAGGAAATATGGTAGAAGAGGGATAAAAAAAACCAGTGTCAATGAGACAATCTCTGGCCTCAAATCAACAAAAGTAAAATTGATTTGAAGGGGAACCATAAAATGTCATAATGACTTAAGTATATTCAATCTTTTCCCAATCAAGCACAACTGTGAAGTTTTTTGTGTTCAGAATCCACCCCTGTGGGATATACAACACAGATTTCATAGACTAGTCATACTCAGATGCATATTCAGTCACTTACCTGAATATGGCTGTAATGTGTTGCTTTAAATGATACTATATCCCGATTGCATTTGAGTGTTCCTCTCCCTAATAGCAATGCAAAACCAAGAAGACTGATGTATTTGGTTGTGGTTCCTCTCTATACCATCAAGTCAAAGGGGCTTTTTGTGAAACTATTTCACAAATAGTGTGGGGAGATTGTCTGAGGCCAATTGCCACCCATCCTCAGACCCTTCATTCTTATAGTCGAGGACTTTGTCTAGGTGGAAAAGAGTAGAGGAAGAGGGGATTGTAAGGATGTTCACATTAGGGGACACATGCACCCCTTTCCTCGTGAATCTTTGCCCCCAAGTATGAAGCAAAGCATGCAGCTGAATAACTTTCCCTACAGCCTATCAAAAGCCCAGGCAAGGTGGCAAGGAAAATGGACCTTCCTACATTTTGGTTGCAGAATTGCAATGCAGCAGCACACATGGGAGATTTGTGCTTTATGGCTAAGTTGGTTTGGAGAATCAAGGGCTAAGGGTTGGAATTCTTCCTGGAGTCTTGATTCCTACTTCTCATATCCAGAACCCATCCTGTGATCTTCTTGAGTCTCTTTTTCAGTCCTCTGCACTTACACCTTCAGCTCCCCATTTTACTAATAAGGGGAAGTGACTGATTAACTTCGTTTGAAGTGTTCCTTTAAAACATGTGTATGATAACAAGCTTGGCCTGTTTATCTCCGGTATCATATCTAAAATCTAAATACACAGAACACACACTTCAGACCGGCCACCACTCCCTTCAGATAATGAAGCAGAGGAATACTAGACACCAGAGATGGTTTTGCCTTACGCCATTGAGAGGGATGGGGCAATCTTGCAGCAGGGTGGGTGCCTCTGTCAATCTATCTGGCAGCAACATGCAGAAGATTAATCATAGTCAAATAATAAATGTTTCTTCAGCCTTGCATGGAATGAACTCAGGTCAATTCATTAACATAGCTGCACACAGAGAAATATTAGCAGCTATAGGGAGGCAGTGATGAGGAAATAAAAGTGTAAAGAATTGCATAAGATCAAGTGAGTAGGGCAAGCTGTAGCAGAAATGCCTGCTTCTCTATGACTGCTGACTTCCCTATTACAGGCCTAATTGGTTGATTCAACCAATATATGACCCTACAGCATACAAAATTCGTCAGGGAATGACTAGTCCCAAAAGTTAACTGTGTGTCCAGTAATCTTCTTCCCTGAATCTACAATTTGGTGATGGATCTGTGCATTGTATGTTTTTACCCTGTTTCCCCTTCCGCTCCCTCACCCATATTGTGCTTCAGTAGTTATATTTATATTTTTAATGTACCAAACATACCAAGTTTGTATGAAAATGTGACTCTATTTCCTGTGCTGGTCAATGACCGAAATAAATGATTTGATTTGATTTGACCCTTCTAAGAAGAGACCATTTGGCAGTAGAAGAGTGCACATGAGAAGTATACATGATGGAGGTATCAGGGTCAAAGGGTATTCCCCTAAAACAGGGGCAGGAGGTATATAGCTTTCAAGATGCTGTTGGTCTGCACTTAACTGAAGTCATAGCAGTGGGCTGCAGTCTAGCAACATCTGGAGGGCTGCATTACTCTCTGGGCTAAAAGGATCTCAAGGAACAAGACTGAGAAAAAACTGCGCCCGCAAATGTAGATATCACTGCTGATCAGAAAACAATGGTGTACAGCAGTTTCATATTCACCACAGAGAGATAGCACATCTGTGCCCACCCACTGTTGCAGAATGAAAACCAGAGAAATACAGCCACTCAAATATTTGGCTTGGGAGCTACTAGAATTTTCAAGTAAATCGCACCAATCAAGTTTGACTGTAGTCTGCACCATCCAATGCATGTTGCCATTTTTTGCAATTGGATTTCCATATCACTTTCACCACAAAGAACAGCAATGATAGCAAAGAATCAACAAATAGAGAGGAATTGGGCGCATGGGGGGCAAAAACAACCATCAAGATCATCTCTGCAAAAATGGCTGCCATGTTGTGACAGAAGGTCAATATTTGCAAGGATGGGATGCCTTTGGAAATATTGGGTTTATGCAGGCATAATCTGAAGTATCTTTTGTAGACATTTTGGATCATCTGCTTCTTATGTGTAGGAAAGTTACAGTAACTGCCCCTTCCTTGAACGAATTCCCATATAATCTGAACAGAGCATTTCACACTACAATAATAAGGTGGGAAGGGTAATAACTCAGTGAAAGAGCTCATACCTGAATGGTCCCAGTTTCAATTCCTGGCATCTTTCACTTGGCATAATCTGAAGTATCTTTTGTAGACATTTTGGATCATCTGCTTCTTATGTGTAGGAAAGTTACAGTAACTGCCCCTTCCTTGAACGAATTCCCATATAATCTGAACAGAGCATTTCACACTACAATAATAAGGTGGG